ACAAGTGCGGTATCATTCGGGACCATTCGGGACAGTGCCCGGTCCAATACTGAGAGAATATTGGACCGGCAATAAAGCGTTTTGATTGGTTGATTTTAGTTATTGGCCCTCTGACTGCCCGAGTCGTGTAATAATTAATCATGTTGAAAATTGCCACCTTTCAGGAAAGAAAATTCAAGACCGATTTTCCTTTTGCAGTTCTTTATAGTTTTTTGTGACTGGCGAGCTCCACACTTTCTTGTTCAAATGTACTGAGCGAAACCAGGAGAGAGTGTTACGGGCGAAAGGGAGCTCCAACTGTGTACCTTGGGTGCTTGCTCACCCCTCCCACCTCCCCCACCTTCTTCCCCACTGCTAGCCAATAAATATATCTTATTAACCAAGCGCGAGGGCCCTACTGGGAAAATATCGGCCCGAGGTCTTGACGGTACGGACCGAGCGCGGCGAGGTCCGTACAAAAAAGACCGAGGGCCGATATTCTTCCAGTACGGTCCCGAGCAAGCTTGGTTAAAAAGAGATTTATTATACGACTGAAGGTCAAAGGGACACAAGTGCGGTATCATTCGGGACCATTCGGGACAGTGCCCGGTCCATTACTGAGAGAATATTGACCAGCAATAGAGCATTTTGATTGGTCGATTTTAGTTATTGGCCCTGTGACTGCTCGAGTCGTGTAATAATTTCTTTTTTAGTCTCACATTTATATATGTGATGGAACAAACAATAATTGAACTTATTTTTAGTCAACATCTGCTTTTCTATCTTGCTTGAAAAGACTTGAAAATCCCGCGGCGATTAAACTTCGACAACAAATCTTAACCACTGTGGAGTTTTGTTAATATTGGTCGTGGGGCTAAATTTTACAATAAGATGATAAGATCATCGGCTAAAATGAACGCTGATACGACAAGACTTATGAGAGGACACCTGAACTTCAAAGAACATTTGTTTTTCATGACAGAAAACAAAAGATTGTTACACGATTCAGCTCTATATCTTAACTATAATGATATAAATATTAGGTTGCAATGTAAATTCATTCAGGCTCTATATGACTACTAATAGACTGAGACATCATGAGAACCCGGATGAAAAGGCTTCAGTCCATGGGTCGCGAACTCAGCGAACCGGTATTTTAAGAGATAAAGTGGAAGGCGAAAGCGTTGTGAAAATTTCAACATCAAGCTTCATGAAATATTGCCAATGGTGGCCCATTGTGTAGTCAGTCTGGGCCTTGATTAATGAATAAGAATGTATGGCAAAAGAAACTGTCATTCTTAGCATAGTTTGGGAATCTTCTGTTCTTAATATAAGCTAATAACAAGAACACCAACACTAGCAATTGATTTAAATAGCCCGTCATATGTTAGTTATGTGCAATCAAGCTGTGAGTATGGGTGGACTTCTCTCATGATTAATTTTGATCTGCAGGTCACTTTCAGTAGCAAACAGTACAGTTCTCAATATTTCCAATGAGTGGGCTGTGTTAAGAAACTTTCAATTTATTTCTTGACAAATTAAAAGTTAACGAGAAATGCATGGTGATAAATGACTAAACTTTAATATTAACGACTGCATCGAGAACATTTTATCTGATACTTTATTTGCTAGATTTAGGTTAAATGATCAGTTTCGTGTTAAACCGCCTCTCCCCTCGACTCGCTGTAGTTTTGTGTTTCAACTCGTAAACTTGCCATAAACTTTTAATAACCTAGCTAGCACATGACCATACGCATTTTATCCTTTATGCACAAGACAAGTTGATCCAAATTTTCTTCTTCGCTCCCGCCGTTTATCCTCACGCTCCTACCTTGAACTAACCCGGAAACGCCTTGAAGTCCTTTTCTTTGCCCCTACCCGAAGTATTTTCGGGCCCCACCCTGGTCGGTCCCCCCTTCACCGACTGTCCCTTAAAAGCTTGCCTTTTATCTCCAATAACTTCTCTTTTTATATACTCCTGTTTCTCTCACTGCAATTGACAGAGTCACTTTTCATTGTCTCTGTCACAGGGGTCACTGTGACTAGTTTTTTCAGTGGTTATCTCTTTGTCAGTTTATGTTACTCTCGCTATCAGTGTCACCATCATAGTCACTGTCACTTTGAATGTTAGTATCTCAGTCCCTGTCTCTTTTGCTTTACTACCTTGTAACTGTCACTGTTACCACCTCTTTTTAGGTCTCTGTTCCTATCTCCGTTTCTATGATTGATGCTGTCATTGTTGCTCTCCCTAGGCCAGTCTCTGTCACTGTCTCAGTAAATTCGCTATGACAGTCTCTGTCTCTTCACAGTCGATGGCACTGTTACTGTTACTATCAATATCACTGTTAATGTTGCTGTCACTGTCCATGTCACTTTTTTAGTGTCTGCCTTTGTTACTGTTACTCCCTTGTGTCTTTGTCACTGTCGTTGATGGTTTCACCGTTACATCTCTCTCACTGTTACTTTCACTGTCCTTTACTCAGTCACTGTCACTTCACTGTGACTAACTTTTTCCTTTTAGAATTTTCTGTCACTATCATTGTCTTCCTCGCTGTCTCTGTCATTGTCTTTTTCATTGTATCTGTCACTCACTCTCTCTCTCTCTCTCTCTCTCTCTCTCTCTCTCTCTCTCTCTCTCATATTCCCACTGTCACAGTCTGCGACACGGTCACTGTTACTCACACTGTCTCGGCCATTGTCAGTGGCGCCGTCTCTTTCATTGTCACTGTCACTATCTCTGTTTATCTAACTGGCAATGGCACCGTAAATCTCCCTTTCAATCCCATTGTCTATTTCTCCTCTTTTTCGCCTCCAGTGACACCCCTTGACAATATTGAATTCTTTCAGTTTCGATGTAACATCCTGATGATGATATACATCCAATGAACCATCGACAACATTGTCCACAGAATCAAGAACCCTATTTTCCATCTCTCCAAACAAGATGGCATGGACCTTTTCACAGTCATGTCCATGATATTTCCAATATGCACCTCACTTTTGTAAACCAAATGTCTCGCTTAACATAAGGCTACTCCGAGGGTTCTATCATCTCTGGCATTTAAGCTATATTTTTCGTGGATAGATTGAAAATACTACCCTCGTCAGTCCGTAGAATAATAATTATAATTTTTATATACCGCGCACATCAAAAGCTTCTTGTGGCTTCTTTACAATACTTTAAAGAGAAGAAGAGATACATCGGTCACAGCCATCACCAAACAGCTAACGAAGAAATGGCAAACGACTTCCACTCACTAATCATAGTTAGCTCCCTCTATTAACTATGGACTAATGAATGACTTGTACCCCTAAACTGAAATTTGAGTTCAAGAAACCCATAATATCACTGGAATTTCTCTCCCTAATACTCAAAAATTCTTATATTAAATCCCCCGAGCATATATGTTGTCCGCTTAGTAACAATTTCCCTGCCTCAGACCATAATTAATAGAGGGAGCAGTCTCCTTTACTAATTATGCTCAGACGTTCAATTTTTGTCCAGTGAGTGCCATGTAGGATTCGACGCAAGCATGATACGAATTCGCCCAATATAATAACAACAATAGCTAGATGTGCAACTCAATTGTGGATGACTTTACTCTTGATGTGCACGATAGCTGACAAAATACATAAGAGAATCGTTGGATGGAGAAGACAAAGAGCATAGTGTCAATTTACAAGTCTAAAACATTATGTTAAACAGCATGATACAATGACAAATTTTGACAGTGATCACCGTTGCCACCCTTCCAACCTAATAATGCAAATAGGGGAGTGCTCTCTTGTTATTTTTCAAATTTCTTGAGGGATAAACACTTCTCTTAATAGTCTCCCGAGTTAATTAACTGAGCTGTTTTTTGTCTGGTGATCAAGTACCCTCAGGGAGATTTCTTAGAAAATCACCGAACCGTTATCGACCCCGACTGCGAGTTTGTCGAGTTCTGAGGGGATGTCATGATCATGGCGCAGCCTGTCATGTTGCGAACAATAGGAATAGACAATAAAAATTTAATTTTACATACGCAGGAGACACATCTGAAAAGATTATTGTGGGAACTCATCTTTACCGTCATTTGCTTGAAGTCGAAATCAGTTTATTCCACCTTGAAAGGTAAGTCTCGTGCTCTTTCACTGATAGTTTGTTCCGGACTAATTCCAAAATATCAACTTTGCCTTTTCGCTTCAGTCGGCATAAAGAAGTCGAGAACGAGGTTTTACCGCACGTTACCGTCGATAAACGGAAGTTCAATTGAGGAAACAATCAAGCAGTTCTTCAGTTTTGCTTACGCCCAGCCAGTTACGGAGTTCTTTTCTGTTGTCTTCAGTCTGAGACTAATTTTATCCAAAAGGGAGATATATTCCATTCTGTGGACGGAAGTTCTTAAAAGAAACTTCTGT